GCAAGGATTATATTATTATTATAATACAAAAATACCCCGAAGTTTAGCATATTGTGTGTTACGTTTAGTCGACAGGTAGCAGCTTAATGCCTTAACCTTCAGGTCAGCATTACATGGTACGCACCATAGGACTAGTTGAAAGAGTTCCCTAACTTTTAACGGTTTAGATGCCATTAAGCTTGACGCTGGAATCAAGGGAAAGAGTTCTTGCACTATTTGGTGTGTGAGATGGTTAATTTGGTTCTCACTGTCTTGGCTGATGAGACACATCTCGTTGTTCTCCAGCAGCAACGAGGTGTAAGCGTGAACAACAACAACAAAATTACATTTGTAAAGCGGCTTTCATATCGGGAGGATGTCTTAAGGCAGGGATCAGGACCCGAATGTGGGGGGGGGGGGCCAGGTTGGGATGAGGGAGGGCAGAGGGGTAGGAGGGCGGCTGAAGGCACGGTCAAAAAGGAAGGTCTTGAGTTGTGCTTTGAAAGAGGAAAGGGATGGAGCAAGGCAAAGGAATAGTGGGATGGAGTTCCCAAGAGTGGGGGGCAGAGAGGCTGAAAGCCCGGACCCCGATGGTCGGGCGGCAGACCTGGAGCAGGCCAGAGCCCGCTGAGCGGAGGGAGCGGACAGGTTGATGGGGGGGGAGGGTCAGCAAGTCAGACATGTAGAAAAGTGAGGATGAGAATTTTGAATTCTATCCTCTGAGGGATGGGGAGCCAGTGGAGCCGGGAGAGGATGGGGGTGATGGGGTCACGGAGCCTGGTGCGGGAAGGGACACAAGCTGCAGAGTTCTGGATGATCTGCAGCTTGTGAAGGGAAGACTTGGGGAGGCCGACAAGGAGGAAGTTTGCATAGCCGAGCCTTGAGGTGACGAATGCGTGAACAATGCTTATGTGAAACCGGGCTTGAGGCAGCTTCTTTACTGTTAAATTCAATCAACGACAAGCTATGCGGTTTTAGCCGGTCAGACCCCAGCAGTTAACCCCGACGCACACTCTCGGGTCCCCAAGCCTTGGCTGATGCCAACCGGCACCTAATACTTTCCGGAATTGGGTAAGCAGGAGGTGTCCCTCCAGGAGGAGAGAGAGCGCATTCCATTCCAACAGTCTATCTCTGGGATTTCCACACGTGAGTGGGACGCGTGGAATTCTGAGCTTGGATTGGAGACCCTTAAGCACGGTGATGGGTTTCCACACGTGTCAGACACCCGGCTAACCAGAGAAAAGAATTAAATTCAACACAATGTACTATTTTCCAACTGACTGGGATTGGGCAAAGCGCGGTGTGCGACAAGCCAGTCCGTATCCCGAGAGAAGGCAGAATTGCAGGGAGTCTGGGGGTTTTATTGACTTGGCTGGGCTATAAAATGTCTGTGGGTAACTTCTAGCCAAATAAAATGGCCATTACAGCAAATATAGAAGCATTATATAGTGATGGCTGTATTAGGGTAAATGTTACCTTAATGTTTTTTTTTCTATCAATAACTAAATAAGTAAATCTTTCACATAAATAGAAGTATAATAATAAATTTTATATTATTTATGTCGGCTTTGCTTTCTTTTTAAGCAGGGGAGCTGAGTTCGGTGCTGCAGTACCAAGCGAGCCAAGGTTACATTTGTAACGAGGACAGTGGTAACAAGGTATGTGGCCTAAACAACACTTAACTTTTCAAACCTCTTCACGCCTGACGTCCTCACTCCTTCCAAAAAGCAAATCGGTCACTCAATCCACGAGTGTGTGTGGGACACTGCCGTGTGCAATTAGCTGCTGCGCTTTTCCCAAACAATACACAGTCAAACCGCTTTACTGTGAAGCGTTTTCAGAAGTCTCTTTGGGGCTCTGCCCCGCATGAAACGCAATATAAAGGCAAATTGTTGTTGTCTCAACGATGTGCTAAGGCGCTATATCAAATGTAAGGGTTATTATTATTATTTACGATTACAGAAATCAGTCGTACTTGCATTTACACAGTATCACGCAGAGCAGTTGGCCAAGGAGACATCTCGAAGCGCTTCACAGAATCCGCAATAAAGTATTTTGTGGGCGAAACTCGACAGCCGACTGTCCACAAAGTCCTGGATTGAGGGGGGAGGTGTGTGGGGTTTGTACACGGCAGCGCTCTCACCAAAAGGGAAAAGTACCAGAAAATTTAGAGTCTTCAAAATACAAGGGGACGTCCCAGAGAGAATTCAGGCTGGGAAACTAAGACGGCGGGACTCTTCTGTCAACCCGAGTCGCAACTAATCTTCATGACCTCATTTTCAAGCTGGATTTGGTTCAGAAACTGCCAGTCTCCGAATCGATCGGACAGGTTTTAGCCTCAAGTGTTTTAAAATATTTTTTATAGCCATGTAGTGTGTGTGTGTGTGTGTGTGGCGGGGGGTGGGCGGGTGGGAGTAGGGGGAAATTGCACACTTGCATTAAGAATGAAATATGAATGCGCTTGATTTTGCATCTCAACGTTTGCAAGGAACTTTCTGATAGGGTTATTTATTTTTTATTTGGAGGCTCCTCACGCAGGGTAGCCACTCAGCACTGTGGACGTTATCCTGGATGAGGGACACTGTATAAATGCAAGTTGTTGTTGTTATACAGTGGGGGGGGGGGGAGGGGCGCAGTGGACTGGCTATTTGGGAAATCGGTAAATATTGGGTGCCATTCACAGGGTGCTGTCGGGCATCAAAATCCTCACGTTTATGCTCTTTGGCACCCACCACCCACACCACAAACCAGCACCCAGGCCCATTTTGCCTGGCAAATCTCCTCTGAGAGAACCAGAATGATGGATGAAAGAAAAATCTCTCTCTGTTAAGGTGAGCACGGGTCCTCCTAACATGAAGGTGTTATACCAAACGCAAGAATTATTATTATTATTATGAGTAAGGAAGCTTTCACCCTGGCAGAGAGAGAGAGTATCCGTCTTGTGAGATTGCAGTTATGGCAGATTTATGATGTGGATTTAGAAGGGATATACATTATTCTGTTTTCTCCCTGTGGTTAGGAATGCCAATAAATTGAAAAGTATTCCAAACTCCTGAATTCCCAACCCTCATCTGAACAAGCATAGGAACAGGAGAGGCCATTCAGGCCCTCAAGCCTGTTTCACCGTTCTATTAGATCACGGCTGATCTGTACCTCAAGTTCGATTACCCCATATCCCTTGATACCCCGACTTAACAAAAATCTATCCACTTCAGCCTTGAAAATTTGAATGGTTCCAACATCCACAGCCTTTCGGGGGAGAGAGAGAGAGAGAGAGTGTTCCAGATTCCAAGCACAGAGAGAGGAAAAAATAGGACAGACTGCCATTACTTCAAGAGACAATTAATTGTTCCTTTAGACAAAAAAACGTCTACATTGATGCAGTTTCACAAACACAATAAATGTTTCCTTTGTCTCACAACTGCTGAGCACAAGTTTTTTTTTAAAAAAATGGTACTTTTTGGGGGTGGAGATGGGAGGTGGTGGGGGGGAAGTAGTATTTAAAGAAAATAAAACAGTGTCTGGTAAGCACTAATTGTGCATTGTCTGACCACTGACAAGACTAACGTTTAATCCGACTGTCGAGATGTTGGCTTCTTGACAAAAACTAATAAATTAGTCACAGTGACCCAAGCTTCTTTTAAACCGAACATCGTTATTAAATTTTGACCCGGTGACATCTGCCTGAAAATTATTAGCGAATTGAATCGGCCTCTTTTTTCAGGCTTTGTCATGCAAATGGCTTCCTCGGCGATTGTGAACATTCGTTAATTCCCAACGCTTTCCCCTCATTACAGACATACAACAGGTGCACCCCAGTAAAAGCATCCTGGCACAGTCTCGGAGAGCTGATCTGAAAACACCAATTGTTTTGCTCCCCCGCCCCCCCCCCCTCCCCCTCCCTCCTCTTCTCCTCTCCCCCGACACCAAGCTTCACAGCGAAGACCTTGGTATTCTTATTTCTGTTAGAAAATAATATCCCGGAATACAGTGTATAGTTTGGGACACGACATGTCAAGTGCCTGCCAGGATGGTGCAAATCGCGCCTTGGGATGTCCTCCCGACGTGAAAGGCGCTATACAAATGTAATTTATTGTTGTTATTAGGCGAACTCGATGGACCTTGGTCTTCCTTCGTTTACCAAATTCTTATGTTCTTACTTTACATCGACAGCCGTTCAGCTAAGTCAGCAACACCAAACTTTAACCTGAATTTACTCGACTTATTTCACTACCAGGGAACAAAAGAGGGAAATGGATTGAGCTCTCCGCAGGGTTTGGTTACAGATATAAAGCAGAAAGCAGAGAGTTTGTCTGCAAATACACAGTCACTGCACTTCACTGTTAAAATCTGGCGAAGAACTTTTGAGACGCCTCGATGAAGTTGAATTTTAAGAATAATTTCACTGTTCAGGGCGATCTGACATTGTGAAACACAATGGTTTCACGGGCTTCGACCAGAGGGAATTTGGGGCCTCAGGTTAGGAATGGGATTGGCTGGAATGTGCCCTCCCCCCATATGCGTGTGCACACACACACACACATGGACAGACACACACAGACAACAGAGACACAGACACATGACAGAGACACACAGGCAGACACACAGACACACACAGGCAGACACACACAGACAAACAGCCACACACACACACACACAGACAGCCACACACACAACAAACTAT